ATTTGGGTCTCTGTCAGGAAAGCCACCACTTCCCTTCTCTGCCCCTAATGGTTAACTACTGCATGCAAAGTGTATCTAGTTCCCAATTAACTCGGAGACTCCCACCCTTCTTCCTAGCGTGTAAAATCTGCTTGCTTTCCTGACAAGCCTCTGCTCTCCACTCTCTGAGACAGTTTGTCCCCCACCCCCACCCCACATACACACACACTTTCTACCCATGGAATGGGCTAGTTTGGTGGTTTCACTGTACTTGTGTACACTACCTGCTTTTGGCTTTTACCTATGCAGACATACTCAGACACTTGCTTCCAAGTTGCTTCTGATTGGTCCGGTCCATATTTTTACCATCCCTCTCAAAAAATCATTTCAGTCTAAACTACAACACTGTACAACCACATGTCCTGGTTCCTTTGGGTTGTGATAGCAGCATGTTCCTGGCCTTTTAAAATACACAGCATAAGAGAACATTATCACTGGGATTTTTGTTTTAGCTCTTTTGAGATAAAGTGTCATGTAGCCTAGGTTGACCTCAAACTCACTATGTAGTCAAAGATAACCTTAAATGACAGATTCTCATGCCTTAGATTCCCAAATGCCAAGTAAATAGCCAATGTTCCAGGATTTAAGTCTTTGGATATACATTTCACATTTACTCTCATTCTTATTTCCATCTGAATTTAATATGTGGCCTAGGTCAGCAATTTTCTATTGATATTTTGGTATTTGGGGCCAAACAATATACTTTTCTTTCTTTTGGTAGTGGAGAGAGGTCTCCTCTGTGATTCTAAGGTTCCAAGTAGCCCTGGCCTCTGCCTACCAGTAGCACTTCCTTGTTGGAGATAAACAATTTACCTCAGGCATTAGGAAAGAAGTTCTCCACCCTCATTTATGAGGAACTAACTTAGGTCTTCCTGGACAGCCTCCCTGACACACCTCAGACGTACACACTCCAAAGATGGAAAAGCTCGTGATCTAATGACAAAGGAAAATAAGCCTTAGACCCTTCCCACGTGCAAGAGTGCTGAGAAAAAGTTGTGAACAGGATGTTGTATTTTCCTCCTCAACTGTCTGAGTGTGACAATTCTAAAAAGGCTGACCTAATAACTATATATAGCCACTTACAAAGATAAGAAAGTGGCTTGTTGGTTGTTAAGGTCTTGCTGTACCTCATTAATGGTTATGGTTGTCTTTTAGAAGATAGATGAGATAAGAGAAAAGGGAAGGACGATTGGTTTTAACGTAATATGACAAAGCAGTTGGTGGTGTGTCCAGATACTCAAGATAAAGTAATAGTATTCACCTGTAGCTTACAATGGGAATACAAATGATCCTGCCTCTGTCCATCCATGTTACTTGTCTATTAAAAAAAGCATAATTATGTCTGTTGTGATAGTATGTGACTATATCCCAAAACTTAAACAGTTGATTCAGCAGAGTCATGAGTCCAGCTACATAGTGAGCTACATAGTGAGCTCCTTAAATCACACACATACACATACATGGGGGTGCTGGGGGAAGAGAAAGTGGGAAGTCATAACCTTGTATAAAGGCATTACTCAGGAGAGAGAAAAATGGTCTAAAGAAGAAAATCTGATTACTAAAAATACAAGTCTTGTAATTTTAGTTTTTTTTTTAGGCAGAGTGTAGGGAATCTTATGAAAGAAGGAAGAGATAGAAAGACCTGAAGGGAACAGGCAGGAGCTCCACAAAGGGAGCAACAGAACCAAAAATCTGGGCAAAGAGCTCTTTTCTGAGACAGATACTCCAAACAAGGACCATGCATGGAGATAACTTAGAACCCCTGCACAGAAGTAGCCCAAGGTAGCTCAGTATACAAGAGGGTTCCCCAACAATAGGACCAGGGACCATCTCTGACATGAACTCATGGGTTGGCTCTTTGATTACCTCCACCTGAGGGGGGAGCAGCCTTGCCAGTCCACAGAGGAAGACACAGAAGCCAGTCCTGATGAGACCTGATAAACTATGGTCACATGGAAAGGGAGGAAGGCCTTCCCTATCATTGGACAGGGGGAGGGGCATAGGAGAAGAAGAGGGAGAGAAAGTGGGATTGGGAGAGGATGGTGGAGGGGGCTATAACTGGGATAAAAAAAAATTCTTAAAGAAAAAGTGGAGATGAGTCTCGAAGGCATTGGTGTGGTGTTACCTGAAGCTCTCTGATGAGACCCAATATTTAACAAGCCTATATAAAACCATTTCAAAACTAATATGGCAATAAATACTAAGACCCTAGATTTATATCTTGGTGACAATACACAAGAAGATCTTTTCTGAGACAGGAAACATAATGAGTTTAGTAGGCTGTTTCAACATGGGTTCTTAAGGGAGGAAAGGAGAAAAAGAAATCAGCCATCCTTTTAAGATATTACGATGTAAATGGGAAGAATAACAGAGCATGTGAAAGGACATAAAAGATGAAGAGAGAGTTTTGTTTTGTTTTCTTGACTTAGGGACTGAAGGAACTTAAATTATCATATAAGTCAAAGTTCTCCAGAAGAACAAAACTGATAGAATGATTAATTTATTAATTATTTATTAAAGTGTCTCACAGGCTGTGGCCCAGCTAATCCAACAATTTCCTGATAGAGAGTCCAAGAATCCAGTAGTTACTAAGCCCACAAGGGTGAATCTCTCAGCTGGTCTCCAGTATACATCAAGATCCTGAAAAAGTAGGTTCTAATGCCAGTGGAAGAATGGACTTACCAGCAAGAGTGAGGGCTAACAAGCAAAGAGTAAAAGCTTCTTCCTTCCTTGTCTTTTAGATAGGCTGACATGAGAAAGTAAGGGCAGATTTTGGGTTATTCTTCCCAACTGTAATAATCCAATTAACTAATAATAGCATCCAGCATCAAAGACAATAGAGGCAAGACTAAGCACAGACTAGGTGAGGGCAAGAGGTGACTGCAAGATGATATGTGAACTTTGTGCTGAAAAGTTGGGCTCTCTCACTTGCCATAGCAACTATTGAGAAGTTTAAATTTTAAAATAGAGAAGTAAACATAAGTATTTTAGAAAATTTACACCAATGGCAATATTCAAAATTGGAGAATGGACCAGAAAGAGCAGTTAAGATTGATGAGTGCTACTGTCGGTTAACACCAGAAAGTGGTTCTCTGGTCCAGGATAAAATAAAATGGCTGTGGATAAACTTGCATTTATCTGGTTGTGAGAATCAAGGAAAAGAAAGGAACTGAGGATAAACACTAGAAGTCTGGCTTGAGAAACTGAACCATGATCTCGCTGCCTTGAATGGAAAGTACTTGGTGAAACCCACCTCCAACTCATGAGTTAGAAATTAGTTGTAGCTATTATTTTTAGCCCCAATACTGCCAGGACTTGTTAAACAGCAAGTAAAAAGTCAGAACAAAATAAAGCGGTGAGTCAAATTTTGAACACATGTCTGGAAAGTCTAAAGTAGATGCTTAAAAAAAGAACAGAAATTCAGATCTGAGTTGCAGGCAAGAGTTTGGGGCCTGGGAGTTCATTTAGGCATATCCCCCACTCCCATCTGCCTCATCCTGCATGTGGGTCCTGAGTGAGACTTCACATTTTAAAATTTCATTGAATTTGACTAGAAATTCCTCGGTGACAAGTATGATATCATGTCCTTTTAGAGTGGAGGAAACTGAGTCATTAAAAAAAGCCCTATAGGATGGAGGAGCCCAGACAGAAAGGGAGGAAACTGAGTTATTAAAAAGCCCCACAGGATGGAAGAGACCAGACAGAAAATGGCTCTTTATAACGGCTCTTTAATACTTATAAATAAATATAAGTATTTATTTATACAGGCCCCGAACTCTTGCCTCAAGGGGACAGAAACAATGGAGTCATGAACTGCAATCTGAGAGTTCCTCTGGAGTTTCCAGGTGGGAGATACATGAAAATGAAAGCTTATGGGTGAGACAGGATGAGGTGACAATGCACAGAATTCTAGACAGAAAGGCCCAGAGTTAAAAAGGACTTCTTTCTAGGCAAACAACAAAATTAAGTTCGGCCATCTTGGTCTCAACAGTTGACCAACGCTTCCTATCAGCTCCCATGTCAACAACGGCTCTAATGCTGTCCTCTGAACTGAATCAGCCCAAGGTGGTCAGCAGAGGGTCCTGCAGACAACACATCTCTGGACTTGCAGCCAGTCTGTACCAGGATTGCCAGGCAGAGAAGCCTGGCACGAGTGATCGGTCCAACAGTCCTCCCTCCGCACAGGGCAAGCTCATCTCCCTGGCACTTGCCCACCATCGCAGTCTTACCGAGTTCTATAACTTCATTCATTTTACTCATTGTCACCCACGGGGCCAAAAGTAAAGCTCTTTATGTGAAAGGTATTTCTTCGGGGAAATAGCCTGAAAGGCAATGGCTCAATTCCAGATGGTCTGCAGATGGTCTAGGCAGCTGTAGTAGGAAATCAGACTCGGGCCCTGAGGAGTGGACCGTGACATAAATCCGTTATTTCATGCTCCATTTTTAGGGAGGCACATTGGCTTCTCCTCAGGCCCTCCTTCCCAGACTCCAGACAGAGCAGCCCATTGCCGCTTCCCTGCAGTCTGGATCTGTCTGTGTTCCAGTCAATCACCGTTCATTTTAGCTCAGGACAGGACTCCTCACACAAATCAAGTTTCCAACACCGAAGGCGACCCACTGCTTCTGGACATGAGACAACTAAAACAATGGGTGCTCCTTCAGCGGAGAGCTTCCTCTTACTAGAAATTGGTTCCTGTAATTTCACAGACCACCAACCACGAGGTACAGTACAGGGGTCCTACTTCCCCATCTCCCCAGGTCCTGTTTCTCAGGCTTCCTCGTGAAAAGGGAGCGGACCTGATTTTTCAGAGCTACGGAATGCTCCCCAACCTTCCCACAGCCCCGCTGCTGGCAAGGAAGCACCCGCATTTCCAGGGCTGAGCTACGTGCCATCTCCCCGTTCCCGACTGGCCACGGCTGCACTGCACACAGCCACAGTCAGACTACTTGGTGGAAAGTACCTGAGAATCCCGTGACCAGAGGCAGCAGCAGCAGCTCCAGGACCAGACAACATTCCTGTTTTCTGAAGTGCATGTTACTTTGCAAAGCTTCCCTGGAACACTGGAGACAACTTTAAGCGAGGACACTGCACCTTTCCTTCAACCAGAAGCAGGAAGTTGTATGAGGCTTTTTTTTTTTTTTTTTTCTTGAAGCACATTGCAACAAGGACCTCCTCCCTCTCTGACTCTCTGACTGTTTCGGAAATTGCTTTGTAGACCAGACTGGCCTAGAACTCACAGAGGTCCACCTACCTCTGCCTACCTAGTGCTGGGGTGAGAGATATGCACTAACAGAATCAAAGGTTTACATTTTCTGCCAGATACCCTAATCTTTCCTGGGGATTACTGCTCAGAAAACCCAAGAGGACCTATGAACTTTCTCAGCACACGCACACTGTATTTAATATAATATGTATTATTGTACCTTTACTTCGCAAAACCCAGTCACTGTGAGTCACTCAGGAGCTAAGACGTAGAGGTACCCACAGAGGTGGGCAGAACAAAATTGTCTGTGAGACGATAGTCCTGTTTTTCCTGCCTGCAGATCTTCTTCTCTTATTGTAAATTCACAGAGTGAAATTTCAAATTCTCTTACCCACTCACTGGATATCATCAGGAGCAATTACTTGGCTTATAAGAATGGATTTCTCACCCTTACAGTCTCAGGTATTTTGAGCCCATTTCTCATTCTAAACCATTTAGTCTAAATGAATTATTTTCTCATCTAGGATACTATGGGGATTCATGAGGTGAGTCATAGTCCCTGAGACAGCATATCTGTAATCATTCCCGAATTGAAGATACTTCTGATTATCAGAATGGAGGTGACCAATATGATGGCCTCTTTGTATCTTGTGATCTCTTGCAACCCTTATACCAAGAGGGTTGGTCTCCACAAGGGGAGACAAGTCAATGCCTGCCATTGAGCATGATATCCTATGATCCTGATCACACCAGAGACCTGTGAGGTGGCTATGGGGGCTATTAATACTTGCACTTTATTGAAACTCAGAGTCAGACTTCACCTAAGCCATCCGTCAGCTACAGTGAAATCCTTGTGCATTCTCCAAGTGCAGAAAGGTGTCAAGTTATAAGTCTGACCTGTGCCCTGTGGAAATCAGTTCTGGCTGGCTTCCAGCCTTTTTTCTTATGTCTCTTTGCACTGTGCCTGCCATTTTTCTCTGCCCATCCTCCAGCATGGGAGAGAGAAAAGCTTTGAACTGGAAGAGAATCTATGACAGGAACAAATGCACAAGGTTTTAAAGCGGATTTAAATTAAACACTAAAAAGGAACTGAAGAAGAGGGGGCGGTGTAACGAAAGGGCAGGCAGAACACAGGAAATACGCTAGATGTGCTTGGTCCAGCCCTGGGGTTTCTCAAAACCAGCTCCCCACCCATCTTAACAGAATCTTCCCAGAAGCGGAAGAAAGAGGGCAGGTCTGCAAAAGCAGGCAAAAAGCCTGTGTGGGAGCTGTCTGAAGCACTTCTCAGTACACAACACAGTTCTCAGGCTGCAGAGATATCTCAGAGCGCCTGGGTAATCTCAGTGTTCCTGCAGATCTGAAGGCACTGTGGAAAAAAATGTCTGACTAAAATGAATATATGACTGTGGTAGTCTGAATGGGAATGACCCACACAGACCAATCTGTGGGAGTGATTGGCCCATAGGGAAGTGACGCTATTGGGAGGTGTGGCCTCGTTGGAGTGGGTGTGGCCTTGTTGGAGGTAATTTGTCACTGTGGAGGTGGGCTTTGAGGTCTCATGTGCTCAAGCTAGACCTAGTGTGGCACACCGTCTCCTTCTGCTGCCTGTGGGTCAAGATGTAGAACTCTCAGCTTCCTCTCCAGCACCATGTCTGCCTGCACGCTGCCATGCTCCTCACCACGACAATAATGGACGAAACCTCTGAAACTGTAAGCCAGCTCCAATTAAATGTTTTTCTTTATAAGAGTTGCTGTGGTCATGGTGTCTCTTCACAGCAAGAGTAACCCTAACTAAGACAGTAACAATTATAGAAAACTTAACCCCCAAAGAGGAAAAGGATGAATTTAAAAGTAAATCATTTATAATCTCCTTACCCAGGGAAAAATAGTCCTACTAACTTTCCAGTAGTCAATATTTCCTCCTAGTATCATCTATGCTTGCGTGTGTGCGGCTAAAGAACTAGAATCCTACCACATATGTTCTTTATGTGTGACATTTTGTAACTTGTTCTCATCATTGTCCCTGGATATTAGGCTTTCTTCAAAAAGAAGGTGTTGACTAGAAGCCCAATTCTTGCTGGTTTGGATACACAGCACGTCAAATGTTTCTTCTCTACTGTGTATCTGGCTTGCTTTTAGCTTGTATTTTCTCAGCGATTCTTTGGAGAATGGAGGGATGACTGTCTGGGAAGAATGCAGAGAAGGGACTATCTTACTTTAAGAAGGGAATAATTCCAGTCGGAATTTCATACTTTGTATTCATAATTTTGTATCAACAAGGTGTGTCACCTTAAAAAAAATCTATCTCTGCTTTTGTTACTGGATTATGTAGGGGAAAAGGCTGGAATATTACCCCCAAACAACTAAGTGTAGCTGCCCATTTCCCGTACATCAGTTGACAACGTAAGCAATGGGGGAAACCAGAGAAAGGAGATTTCTTCAATCTGGCTATCTTAGTTAGGGTTTTATTGCGTGATGAGACATCATGACATTAGCAACTTTAATAAAGGATAGCAGTTAATTGGGGCTTTCTTATAGCTCAGAGGGTTAGTCCGTTGTCATCATGGCGGAAAGCATGGCATTGCCCAGACAAACATGGTGCTGGAGAAGAAGCTGAGAGTTCTCCATCCGGTCTGCAGGCAGCAGGCAGAGAGAACAAGCCACTGGACCTGGCTTGAGGATCTGAAACTTCAAAGCCCTCCCCAGTGACACACTTTCTCCAACAAGGCCACATCTCATAACAGGACCACTCCCTATGAGATTATGGGGTGAGGGACATTTTCATTCAAACTGCCATAATGGCCACATTAAAAAGAAAAATTAAAGGTGTCCAGTGATCCATAAAGTCTGTCTTTGGGAACAATGTTATGAGGTTTAGGTTTAAATAAAGGACAAAGAGTGTCCCTGTACATCACTGACCAATCATTATCACAGCCTCACCATCTTGCAGAGCAGTCCAGTTAGATGTCATCCTCGGGATGACACCAGGATTTCACCCCCACCCCCCACCCCCATAGGATTCCTAGGGAATTTTAATGGGAGGGGATACCATTGTTTTAATAGTCATACAGCAGAAGAAACGGATGCAAATGTTTCTTACTAGAAGGTCCTCATTCTGGCCGGAGTGATTATACAATGACTCTGTCTTTACCCAGCAGGAATATGTGGAAGATCAGGCCTCCTTGAAAACAAAATCCCATACAGCTCTCAAAGGTGTACTCAGGTGTAATAAGCCAGATTTCCGGTTGTGTATTGTTGTTGATGATGTTGTTGTTTCGGTTTGATGTTTGTGTGTGTGTGTGTGTGTGTGTCTGTATTTTTGAGACAAGATTTCTTTGTGTGTAGCCCTGGCTCTCCTGGAATTTAATCTGTATATCAGGCCAACCTCAAACTCACAGAGATCCACCCACCTCTGTTCAGTGCTGACTTTTGTTTGATATTGTCTGGTGTTAAGAGTAAGAAAGAGAACACAGACTTAGCCCAAGAAACCTTTGATGGACCAGCCTGATTCCATCTGAAGGTTGGAAGCCATTTTCTTAAGAGGTCAGAATAAGTGAGTTTCTGTTTGCTGTCAATTTCAAGCATGACTGTGCTTTAACCCATTCTGGAAATTCACATGCTCCCCACCCTATGGAGTTCGACTCACACCTTGACCATACCCTGAGAAGATGCTCTGACAAATAATTTTGAAATGTTCAGCCAAGTTCTTACATAGCCAAAATTCCTCTGGAAATCCCCCAACCTCTAGCCTTGCCATTTTTTTGGGGGGGTGGCTATATAAACCCCTACCTTTAACTATGTTTGATGCTATTTCCTCAAACCCCACCCTAGGGAGATAACCCTATTTGACAGAAAATAAACCTTGCATAATTTGAGTAAAGAATTAGGGTAGTGGTCTTTACTCTCATTTGGTGGAATTAGCACCCTTCTCCTCCAAGGAACTCCAGGGAACAAGCATATTTGGGATGTCCATTCTGAGGTGCGAAGAACCTCTTCAAGTCTAAAAAACTGTAAAGCCAAGGCTGTGAGAAGCTAAAGAGAAAGAATCAGCAGTTAGTTGACTGCTATGACTTAGAACCACGGCTGTCAAACTCCCTGGGGCCAAGATATGCTTAAGAGAGGGTTACAGACGTGTCATATCTTGTGTGACTGTGTGTAAGCCAATTGACTTCATTAAACAGAAGCTAGAGTATTTGCTCTTGATGTGCTCTCTCCATAACTGCCTTTAACAAAGTGGTAATAATGATAGTTTTTGAGTATTTTATTAGTCAAGATATTCTAGAGTGACAGAATTTATAGAATACATATAATGTATATAATTTATAATTATGTTATATCCAGTTATCTATGAGTAATATAATCCTGTAAGGGATTTCTTTTTGCTTAGGTATATCAATGTCTTTATTTTTTATCTTACCTTTTTAAAATTTATTTATTGTTTTATTAATTACAATTTATACACTTTATGTATCCCAACTGTAGCCCCCTCCACCATCCCCTCATAATCCCACCCTCCCTCCCTCTTTTCCACCATGCCCCTCCCCTAGTCACTGATAGGGAAGGTCCTTCTCCCCTTCCATCTGATCCTAGTCAAGCAGGTCTCATCAGGACTGGCTGCATTGTCTTCCTCTGTGGCCTAGTAAGGCTGCCTCCTCCTCAGGGAGAGATGATTAAAGAGCCAGCCACTGAATTTATATCAGAGACAGCCCCTGTTCCCCTTACTAGGAAACCCACTTAGATACCGAGCTGTCATGAGCTACATCTGTGCAGGAGCCTATGTCCTCTCCAAGCATGATCTTTGATTGGAATATTAGTCTCAGAAAAGACCCCAAGGTCCAGATTTTTTGGTTTACAACACGATATTTTCAACTCCTCTGAGACCTGCTGGCCTCT